TTACGTATTAGAGGAGCCCTATTCTAATCAAATAACGCACTACCAGGGTTATTTTAGATTAGCCCACGTATTCCCCTGACACGAACCCAATCATGCCAGTTGTCACTATTTTGAGACAATTAAACAATTACGGATTTAACGTCCCAATTGACAATAGATTATCAAATTAACTAATTATCCGGATCCAAAACAACCAATTAATTAAATAACCATAAGTTTAGCAACCAAGAAATATGCGAATACCAATAAATAAAAGAAAAAGATTAAATTAAATCGATCTCACAATTTTTAGGCGAACCAGAGCCTTCGTTGCTCCTTGACTAGAAAAAGGGAATTAGTTCATTTTTGGTGAACAAATCCCACGCAAAATTGAAGAGGAAACTGCAGCCATCAATTGGGAAATGCACAAATTCGATCCGATGAAATACTGACTGAAAAGAAAAGCTACTGGAAGTACTCCATTGTTTTTGCTTCTTCTCACATACGGAGAAAAGAAAACTACTCAAGGCTAAAAGGAAAAGTCAAAGATAAAGCTGCCAACTCCTTTTCTTCCTAACATCCGTACATGTCTTTAGCCCAAAAAAAATCAAGTACAAGGGAAAGTCAAGAATTGCTGCTAAGCTACCGCCGGCCAAAAACTCCCGAAAAAATGCCTTTTTCTTTTCTTTTAATTGCGGCGCACCTCCAGCAGAGCCAAACCCTCCCAGGTCACCTTCCCTCGCGGAATTTACCAAAATGGGCGTGATATCTTCTGTTCCAAAAGTGCCCCTGGGACAAACTTAATCATCTGAATTCTTTTCCTCCAATTTGGCACCTGTTATCATATTTATATTCTACTCCCTGAAATAAACGTCAAATACTAAAAATGAGTAGAATCCAGCAAATAAATCCACATCAAGTCAGGTAATAGGAGGAATTGATAATAAAATAAATTGATAAATTGCAGCCTATCAATTCCCCCCACACCTAAATCATGCTTGTCCTCAAGCATAAGACACCAAAATTTGATAATGATCATTGCCCAATCTACCAAATTGCCAAGATATTCGAGAAAGAACCACATATCGGGCACTAGTAATTAAAATCCGAGAAGCATCCCCCCAGTTAGTCTCTAAACCACGAACTCCTTCAATTCCCGAATTAACTAATCTAAGGAAAAGGAATGACACACAGCATTTATCAGCTAATGGTCCAAATATTCACACAAGTCCCCATATTAAGTCCATAAACCAGCAAGCTTCCCTATTATTTATTCTCTCCTTTTTGCCCCCTTTTTTTTGTTTTTTTTTTTGAAGCACATAATAATACTTGGCACAAGAAGACTTAGTCTCTAGCCGCCGGGGCCTTTCGACGCGAACTCAAACATTTTTAGATGAAGGAGCCCGGTTACTCAGCTCCTACCGCTATACGACCACGTACTCATATAATGCACCACCTTTTGACGCGAGAATCGACACTTTTAGGTGCAGATCCCCGGTTACTCAGTAGTAACTCATAGCGGAGTACAGTCCAGATTATTCACAACCAAACAAAGCCAGAAACACATAATAGCAACACTAATAACCAAAAATAGGAGCAGCTCGCCTCATTATTGCCAACCATAGAAAACTGGAGTCAATATCGGACCAGTTCACATTAAAATGCCAACAGTCATTCCCTATGTTTAGAAAAGTTAACAAAGAAGTCAAACGAGTCAAGCAGTCCGATACTCACCACGGGGATATCTTGGACCCAACCACATTAACCCGATACATTTTTATTTTAAAAACTCGGCAAAATTAGAATTAGAGCCAATAAACCAACATTTTTTTCTCTTTTTTTTTGTTTTTTTTTGTTTTCTTTTTCATTTCACATGAGGAATAAGCACTAAGAAAAGAAAGGAAATACGCGCTAGAAATAAAACTAAGAACTACTAAAAAACTAAAAACTACTAAAAACTAAAAAACAACTAAAAACTAAAGAGACTATAGACCCCCCCACACCTATAGGACACATTGTCCTCAATGTGTCAAATAAACAGCAAAAATGAGGGAGAAAGTAACCAAACTTCCCTAAAACTGGGTCATAGTGGAGGACGAGGTGGAAATGGAGGTGCAAAGCCTGTATGAAGCAAAAACTGCGCCAAATTCTGCGCTATGCCGGCGACATTGGCGTCAACGTTGACCATTCGAGCCTCCAAAGTCTGAACCTGCTCCCGGAGTTGCTGCCATTCAGAAGTCCTACGTGGTGGAGGTGGCGCAGAAGATGACGGCCCAACTGTGTCCTCGGCTGACTCATGAAATGAAGTGGGCCCTGCTCGGGGCGAAGGGTGTGCACCCGGAGGCCGAACTGGTCCCGGAGGAGTGAACTGGTAGGAACCATCGGGTAGGCGCTCGACGACTCCCATCCGCTCTAAGCAATCCACATCCAAGAGCTCCATCTCGAACGCCAAATGTAGGTCGTGGTCCTCCAGGTTGAGAACCCCTAGCTCTGTCGCCAAGTGAGTGATAAAGGACCCAAGGATAAGGGGTTTGTTCTTTTTGGCCAAGACGGTCTTGAACTGCGCTACCAACCAACACCCCAAGTTAGCCTTGATGTTATTCTGCATACACCAGATGAAGAAAAACTCGGGTCGAGAGAGAATGCCGGAGCTGTCCTTGCGACCGAAGTAGCTGTATGCTAAGAATCGCTGGACGTATCTGGCGCTAGGGTCCCTGAGAAAAGAGCTCCTAGACCTAGAAGAGTCGTAGCGCTGCGTATCGGTGGACATTTCTTCCCATACAGTGCGGTAGCAGAAAAGAAAAGGCTCTATGTAATCGCAGGCACTCTCAACATACTCCCTCGTTTCAGCAAACTCTCGAGTAATGAACCCAAATGCTAGATTAAATTCAGTAATTGAAAAATTAAATTTCCGACCCATCAGACGGAAGCGAATGACATTAGGTGTCGCAACGGTGAACCTCGAGGGCAGCTCAAACTCAAAGGTAGAATAAAACTCCCGAGTCAGCTCGACAAAGGCGGGGCAAAAGATATCGAGATATGGGCGCCACCCGATGGCTGTAACATCTGCTCGACCTCCTCTCGTATGTCTAGGCCCATCACGGTTAATTTTTCCCAAGTTTTGCAAGGTATAATACGCCGCTCACAGACCTTAGCATATCTCTGCTGATCGGCGGGTCTAGTGAAGGTTAGGTGCCCTCCAAAGTGAGTTGGGGTATCTACTTGAGCACCCCTACCCCTACCCAAACGGGTTCAGACATTAGAAGAATAGGGTAGGTTGGTAGGTGTATTCACAGGAATAGATGCCTGTGGAGGGGGCTGAGAACGAGAGGCCCTAGACCTAGATGATGATTTTGGTCGGACCATTTCTCCCACAGTTAGATGGAACAACAAAATACAGAATTTCCAAAGCCCAGTGCAACCAGCAAATTACCGAATTAATTAACCAGCAAATATACAAACGAGTTACCCACAATTTATACCAATTTCCCAACAAAGCAACAAGGACACCCACTAACCACAGGATGCCCAACCTAAACCACAACTAGCAACTGGTAGAGGGAATTCAATAAGCACAGGGATTATCCAAGTCACTCAGTCAACAAGCAAAAGTTGTCCACCCAAAAGTTCCAACAAGCAGCCCAATTAATGAAATAGCTATAGAAGAGCAGAGCAGATGCTACCTATGGCCCCACAACTCATCAGTTACAGCAGAGTATACAATCCCAAACTTACAAAGTAAGTCAAATGACACAGGATTTCAAATCAAAATGCAATCCCAGAAGTAACTGAAGCGAAACCCCTCACAAACCTCAACAAGACCGCCACCAATGCAAGCAAAATAGACCTCAGCACATTGACACACGACTGCAGTATTGCAGCAAAATTTCAACAAATGGCTCCAGTTGGCCAATCAAGTGCACCAGTTCACCCAATTCCAAAATAAGCAACAAATTCGAGTGAAAATACTCCAACCACTGGTGGATAACTCACAATTGAAGAAATAACCCCCAACAGTTAACAACACCGTCAAGAAGCAACCCAAGCAATACCAAGCAATATTAGAAAATCGGGAGACAGCTTCTAAATACCTTCACCGAAGAAGGTAGCCAACCAAATGGGACAGCAGCGGGGAAGGAACGAGGGCGGCGCGTGAGCTGATGCAGTGGAGCTCAGAGGAGTTGGAGGGAGGCACGACTGGCTGGCTGTGCGGCGCTGAAGAAGAAAAGGAGAGCCCGCGCAAGCGGGTGGCGTGCGTCGCGACAGCAGGTGGAGGCGCGCGGCGTCGGCGTGCGCGTGGACGGCGGCGGGCGCGGGTGGTCTGGTGCGGCGCGAGGGAGATGGGCTGGTCGAGCTGTGCGGAGGAAGGAGGCGGCGTGCTGGGCTGGCGGACCAGCAGGGGAACAGAGTAGAAGAAAAAAAGAAAAGAGAAAGAAAGAAGAAGAAAGAAAGAAAGAAAAGAAAGAAAAGAAAGAAGGAAAAAGAAGAAAGAAAGAAAGAAAAAAAATGGCTACGGCTAAAAGGGAAATTTTTTTTTTTTTTAAGTCAAGGAAACGCGACTTCAAAAAAAAACTCTAGTTTCAGGCGCGTTTTCAGTCCTGCAAGATTTGTGAAGAAAACGCGACTTCGGGAAACGCGAGTTTCGGGCGCGTTTTCATTCCTGCAAGATTTGTGCAGGAAACGCGACTTCAGAAAACGCGAGTTTCAGGCGCGTTTTCAGTCCTGCAAGATTTGTGAAGAAAACGCGACTTCAGGAAACGCGAATTGTAGGCGCGTTTTTTGAACCTTGCTCCAATACACACTGAAAACGTGAGCTTCCTGCACCACATCACGTGGGCGTGTCAAGAGGGAATGTCACCTACAAATCAACAGAAACGAAAACCAGAACCCAAAATCAGTCGAATTCTCATAAAACATATCTAAACTATAACACGAAATCAACCAAACAATTAAAAGAAACAATTGGGTTGCCTCCCAATGAGCGCCTTCCTTTAATGTCTGTGACTAGACATGGTAAAGTGTCACTGTTTCGGACACGGTGGCGCATCTAAACTTATTGTCTCCACCTCTCCACTTGAAAATCCTTCGTAATAATGCTTGAGACGGTGTCCATTCACCACAAATTTGTTGTCTGTTTTAGCACCATGGATTTCGACTGCACCATAGGGGAAAACGCGAGTCACAATAAAAGGTCCAATCCAACGGGAACGTAGCTTACCTGGGAATAGCTTGAGCCTTGATTGGTATAGGAGGACTTTCTGACCAACTTCAAATGTTTTCCTTGAAATTTGCTGGTCATGAAATGTCCGACTTCTCTCCTTATAAATTAATGCATTTTCGTAGGTTTCGTTCCGAATCTCCTCCAATTCCTGCAAATCCAACTTCCGTTGAACACCGGCCTCTTCTAGATTCATATTGCATTGCTTTATCGCCCAAAAAGCCTTGTGCTCGAACTCCACTGGAAGGTGACACGGCTTCCCGAATACCAACCTGTACGGTGACATCCCTATAGGAGTCTTGTATGCCGTACGATAGGCCCAGAGTGCATCGTCCAACCGTTGACTCCAATCTTTCCTATCGGGGCGCACCATTTTCTCCAAAATGGATTTAATCTCCCGATTCGATACCTACGCTTGACCATTGGTCTGAGGGTGGTACGACGTTGAGACCCTGTGGAGTACACCATACTTGCGAAATAATGCAGCAATAGTTTTGTTACAGAAGTGCGCTCCCCTGTCACTGACAATAGCTCTTGGCATTCCAAATCGTACAAAAATATTAGACCTGATAAAATCTGCGACTACTCTCGAATCATTAGTCCGAGTGGCCTCAGCCTCCACCCATTTAGACACATAATCAACTGCCAGTAAAATATATAAAAAACCAAATGAAGTAGGGAAAGGCCCCATGAAATCTATACCCCAAACATCAAAAATTTTAATAAAAATCAACGGGACTTGGGGCATTTGATCTCTACGGGCTATGTTACCTACCCTTTGACAGCGATCACATGACTTACAAAATACATAGGCATCCTTAAACAATGAAAGCCAATAAAATCCACTTTCTAAAACCTTATGAGCAGTTCTCTTGGGTCCAAAATGACCTCCACAGGCAAAAGTATGACAAAAATTTTAAATCGATTGAAATTCCATCTCACTTACACATCTCCGCATCACTTGATTTGCACACCTCTTCCATAGGTACGGGTCGTCCCAGATAAAATACTTGGCGTCGCTCTTCAATTTATCCCTCTTCGATTTTGGCCAACCTGCAGGGAAATTACCAGTTACCAAATAATTGACCAGATCGGCATATCAAGGCAACTGAGAATTTATAGAAAAGAAGTGCTCTTCAGGGAATGCATTCCTCAATGGTTCATTGTCCTCTCCAACGGGTATACGACTCAGATGGTCAGCTACTAAATTCTCTGAACCCCTTTTATCCCTTATTTCCAGGTCAAATTCCTATAGTAGCAATATCCACCTGATGAGCCTCGGCTTTGCATCTTTCTTGGTCATCAGGTACCTTAATGCTGCATGATTAGAAAATACAATCACTTTAGCACCTAACAGATATAACCTGAATTTTTCTAGAGCAAAAATAACTGCAAGAAGCTCCTTCTCAGTGGTGGAGTAATTCAACTGGACTCCATTCAATGCTCGGGATGCATAACAGATGACGTGAGACGCCTTTCCTACTCGCTGCCCCAATACGGCCCCTACAGCATGATCACTAGCATCGCACATGATTTCAAATGGTAGACTCCAGTCAGGGGACTGGATAATTGGGGGTGAAGTCAACAATTCTTTCAACTTGTCGAAGGCCTTCTCACATTTGTCATCAAACTCGAAGGCTACATCCTTTTGCAAGAGTTGGAACAACGGGGCCCCAATTTTTGAAAAGTCCTTGATGAACCTTCGATAAAAACCTGCATGTCCAAGAAAAGAACGCACCTCCCGCACATTTGTGGGGTAAGGTAATACAGAAATAATGTCTATTTTAGCCTTGTCAACCTCGATGCCCTTAGACGATACAATATGACTCAGAACTATCCCGTACTCAACCATAAAATGACATTTTTCCCAATTAAGTACGAGATTAGTCTCTATACACCTTATCAGGATCAATTGCAGGTTATCTAGACACGTGTCAAAACTATCACCATACACACTGAAATCATCCATGAAAACCTCTATTATTTTCTCAACATACTCAGAAAAGATGCTTATCATACATCTCTGAAAAGTTGCAGGTGCATTGCACAACCCAAATGGCATTCATCTATAGGCAAAGGTACCGAACGGGCACGTGAAGGTTGTCTTCTCTTGATCCTCCGGTGCAATTGCTATCTGAAAATATCCTGAAAATCCATCCAAAAAGCAATAATAAGCCCTACAAGCTAAACGTTCAACCATTTGGCCAATGAAAGGAAGAGGGAAATGGTCCTTTTTGGTGACGGCGTTTAGCCTACGGTAGTCTATACACTGCCTCCATTTAGTGGGCTTGCGTACTGGCACAAGCTCACCCATTTGGTTGGCCTCTACCGTCACTCCTGCCTTCTTTGGGACTACCTGGACCGAGCTCACCCAGGGGCTATCTGATATAGCAAAAATAATCCCCACATCTAGCAATTTTAGAATTTCTTTTTTTACAACTTCCATCATGAGGGGATTGAGCCTCCTTTGAGCCTGCCGTACAGGTTTGGCATCCTCTTCTAGTCTAATCCGGTGCATACAGATGGCCGGGTTGATCCCCTTAATATCTGCGATTGTCCAACCTATCGCCTCTTTATGTTCCCTAAGGATCCGGATCAGTTTCTCCTCCTGGGTTTTTGACAGTGCCGATGAGATAATCACCGGGAGTGTCTCATTATCACCCAAATATGCATATTTCAGGTGCTTTGGTAGAGGTTTCAACTCCAGTACAGGTGCCTGCACCACAGATGGCAATACCCTCTGGTGAGGTTCGGGAGTGAAAATAGGCAAGACTTCATACCTTTTTGAGGTGGTCGGCAATGAGTGTAATGCACCTATTGTGCATTTTAAATCCTCACTCCACTCCACCTTAGGAGTTGTCTCCAACTCGAGGTGCTTGGTTAAACCCACCTCCAACTCATCCCAGCCATCAGTTTCAAACACTTCCCGCACTACCGGGTCAATAGCACTCACAGAAAAAACCAAGCTAAAGTTGGAATTCGAGGGGTATTTCATAGTATCAAAGATATTAAAATGCACAGTTTCCCCGTCAAATTCCATGGATAAGGTACCCTTATTAACATCAATTTTTGTCTGTGCTGTGCTCATAAAGGGTCTACCTAACAACAACGGTGAGGGGTCAGGGGAGTGATCATCATCCATATTAAGTACATGAAAATCAGCTGGAAATACCAAATCATTAACTTTTACCAACACATCTTCAACCAACCCGTCAGGATATGCATTAGTTCGGTCAGCTAATTGAATGATTATTCCAGTTTCTTTCAATGGACCTAATTTCAGAGAGGTATAGATAGATTTAGGCATAACATTGATTGATGTTCCCAGATCCAACATGGCTCTTCTGATCACAGTATTACCTATCCTACAGGGAATAGTAAACATACCTGGGTCCCCGCACTTGGGTGGGAGCTTTCTCTGCAGGACCGCTGACACATTCTCCCCAACAATAACCCGTTCATCTCCCCTCAATCGCCTTCGATTGACACACAAGTCCCTTAGGAACTTGGCATATTTTGGTACCTGTTTGATTGCGTCTAAGAGGGGGATATTTATCTCAACCTTGCGAAAAACCTCCAAAATCTCCTTCTCCTTATCCTGTTTCTTTGATTTTTCCAACCTGCTAGGAAAAGGAGGCGGGTTAGTTTTAACTTTAATTATTGGGTCAGGAAGTACCTTTATATCTGCACCATTGCTGTCCTCCCTTTCAAGCTCATTTTCGATCTTTTCTTCATCCTTATCCTTAGGAATCACAGGTTCAGACCCCTGAATTTCTTTCCCGCTCCTTAGGGTCATTGCGCTCACGTTCTTCGGATTTAATTCGGGCTGAGATGGCAATTTACCTTGGTTCTGGGAATCCAAACGATTGATTGTTGTGGCCATTTGACTTATCTGATTCCTTATATCCTGTATTTCGGAGTCCGTCCTTTGCTGATTTTGCAAAATGGCTGCCTCCGTTCTTTGCTGATTCTGTGCCATGGTTGTCATCATTTGTTTCATCATCTCCTCCATAGACGAACTAGAGCTTGGGGGCGGAGGTGGTCGGGGTTGGTATTGCTGCTGGTACCCTGGTGGCTTATTTGGCACAAAGTTAGACTGCCTGTTCGGTGTAAAGTTGGGTTGCCTATTCCCTCCATAACTGAGGTTGGGATGATCTCTCCACCCGGGGTTGTAGGTGCTTGAGTAAGGGTCGGACTGCTTCCTTGGCGCGGGTGCGTGGTCAGCCATGTTCACCTGTTCTGTAGTTTCTTCCTGAATCATTGGGCACATGTCCGCAGAGTGACCTATACCAGTGCAAATCCCGCATACCCTGGCTTGTGATGCATTTCTCACAGCCTGTTGCCTAACAAACGCAGTCAACTCATTTAGCTGCTGCTGCATAGAGGGTGTCTCTACCTCATTCACCCTGCGTATTGGAACATCCTCTCTTGTACCGAATTGTTGTGAATTTTCTGCCATCCTTTCTATCAACTCCCGTGCTTCCTGAGGGGTTTTGTTCACCAGTGCCCCTCCACTTGCAGCATCAATTATGCTCCTGTCGCCGAAAAGGAGCCCCTCATAAAAATATTGTATGATCAACTGCTCACTTATTTGGTGTTGGGGGCACCTGTACAACAAGTTCTTGTACCGTTCCCAATACTCATAGAGTGACTCCCCTAGATGCTGCTTGATCCCACAAATTTCTTTCCTCAGACTTGCAGCCCTGGACGCAGGAAAATATTTATCCAGAAATTTTTTCTTCAATTGGTCCCACGTGGTGATGCTACCTGGTGACAGGTAGTACAGCCAGTCCTTTGCAGAATCTTTCAAGGAGAAGGGAAACGCCCTCATTTTTATCTGCTCTTCCGTAATGCCCGGGGGTTTCATACTGTTGCACACGACATCAAACTCCTGCAGATGTTTATACGGCTCCTCACCTGGTAAACCATGAAAAGAGGGTAAAAGAGAAATCAGACCAGATTTTAACTCAAATGAAGTGTTTTCACTCAAACTCGGGAAAGTAATGCACAAAGGCTGCTGATTTAAATTAGGGGCAGCCAACTCCCTTAATGTTCGTGCATTAGCCATGGAAATTTCTTCTTGCTCTGAGTCACTCGAAGTGTCACCAAATGAATTTGTTGGTTCAACTCCTGACTCGGGTCTCTGAGATGTAGCACTGGAGTGCTCCTTTCTGAGCTGTCTGGTTTCCTTTCTCGTTCTACGCGCGATCTTCTCTACCTCAGGGTCAAAAATCAAATCACCTGTACGAGAAAATCGAGGCATACACTAGAAGAAAATCAGAAAATTAGGACAAAAATGAACTTAAAAAGAAACAAATAATAACGCCGGTCCCCGGCAACGGCGCCAAAAATTGACAGGTCGTTAGCCTGTGC